GGTGCAACCAACCACGTGGCAGAACAGGAAAACGGGCGGCCGACGTGTCGTTGGCGTGCTCGGTGTGCCGTCCGGGCCCGGCGGCGCTTGAAGCTGAGAGTTTGGAACTCAACGTGGCCATGATATTAAGGTAGAGGCTGTTGGTTTGAGCATAGTAGGAACCCACACAGAGGTGGGAGATGCAAACATGTGGGGCACCGGAACAATGAACCGTTCTGCTCTCAGACTCAGGGACCGTCGAAGCAGACACCGAAACGCGAGTGATACAGGCTTGCGGGGTCAATGTTCGAGGTCCACAAAACCCTATGTCTCTAAGGATCCGGATCCTTAGGGTAGGCACTCCACTGAGTTCGGGTAGGCTGAAGCTGATTTCAGGGTGGAGTTGAAGCAGATGAGAGAAGAGGCTTGTTGTGGAAGCCCAAAGAAGTACTTCGCGGCAACAGTATTTGGCCCTGGTCAATACATTGAATATCATTGAATACAGGAACCATTGTTGGAGAGGGTCACAACATGAACCACTTGCAAAACTTTTCTAGTGGAATCATGAATTGGTTGGGGTCTTGAGTCTTCAAGGGACTTGCATTGAGGGGAGACATGCCAGAATTCCTTCCCCAAAAGAAAAAGAACACCACTAGCGCCCTAGCGTTCCAAGACTATGTTAAAATGGCGGTCCTTGTTTTGCAGTGTAAAATCCACAGCAACACAGCTCGGTGGCTCGATAAAGGCTATTGTTCATCAATGGTGGACCAGAAAACCAAAAAGGCTAGGGACTAGGTCACTTCTCGAACCAAAGAGTCCACCCTGCGCCCTCAGCGGTTGGCTCTTCACCCACGCGATGGTCACATCCGCTTTTTGGATTTGCAGTCCAGAAAGCTGGGAATCAAAAGAGTCTTCCCCAGAGCCAGGGGATTTTCCCAATAGAAATCACCTTGAGCAAAACCAGGAAATCCTTAACTTCAACCCCGATCTGGCGGAAGAAGGGGGTCCTATAACCACCCCCTTCTTCGAACTCAGGAAATTCCCCCGAATCGGACCAATTCCTGTCTGATGATCCAGTTCTTCGGCTCTTTCCTCTCACTCAGAGACCTTCGACCAAAAACGCCCCGAACATCAATCCCATCACCCACGGCGAGAGATGCGCCCGCGATTTGTGCCAAAGGCTCCAAGCACCCGCGTCCCAGGAGGACTAGGCCAAACCACCAGACATCCGGCCTCCGTACCGTCGCACGGCCGCTGGTCGTCCGTGGTCGCTGTTCGTCACCACGCTCCCCGGTGAGTCCCAAGTCCCGAGGGTTGGAGGCATGAATCCATGCAGAGGTCCGATGGCTCTGATCTTCGACCGATACTGCCAGTTGAGGGTTGGGAAGGACCCGGTCAACGAGGTCGAAGCATTGGTGACCTGTTTGTCGTCGGGTCCTGGTAGAAGACTAAAGGCACTTTCAGGCAAGGACCGCCCAAAAGGGAAGGTTTGGATGCCCAAGTGACGCAGGGTGGTTCATGGGAACCCTTACATACCACCAAGGTATGGCACCCCGGTGTCACCCGGGTGTCGTTCAAAATAACAGTGTCTCAGGCCGTGATTCACATTAAAGGGCTAAGGCCAATCCCACCGAACGCCTTCTTCGCCTTAGTACGGACTTCTATCTCGAGTGTGTGTGTGTGCCTGGATCTTCCTAGGATGCAAGTGGAAGACCTACCGGGACCCTCAAAGGGGTGTTAAATGGAGATCCAGAGGTAGTGTAGGGATGTCCATTGGGGACGCCGAACAGAAGGTGCTGGTAGGTGGTGTGCTTTCTTTGTGCTTCAGCTTCACCCGCCTGAAGCGGTAGATCAGGGAGTAGACGGCTGTGAGGTATGGAGTGCCAGACAAGCTGGGCGCTTTCACGACCACCAGCAGCGAATAGGCAAAGAAGCCCAGCGCAAAAATCACCTCATGCCCCGAGGCTGCCCTGGACCCGAACCAACTGTTACATGTTGGTCCGGTCCATTTTACCCTAGTTGGTGAGGATCAAAACCCTGAGGGGTCCTTTCTGAGAACATCGGCTCATGGCCATGGCACCACCAAAGCATCACACCACCGGCATGGTTCGGGAAATGGGGGACAACCCCCAGCACGATGAACAACAATGGTTCGGTTCAAGAATCCGCGCCCTTCTCCAATCAGAAGGGTTGGGTTCGGGTCTGTCCAACCTGCGTTTCGGTGGTGTCAGGTCGAGCCCTGAGGAAAGGGGAAAACCAGCTGTCATGGCTCTCGGGTCATGGTGTCGGAGGGTGGTCTCTCAGAAACACCTCTGCAATCAGGTCGCCCGAGCCTAAACAACGATCCTTGATCCTTGACTGCACACCAAGGAACCAAAAAAGCAAGTCTACAAAACACCTCTAAGCAATTCTGATTGCAACCAGGTGTTTTCTAAATAGTAACCAGGTGTTCAATTCTTTGCCGCAGCCATTTCATAAAATGCCTCAACTATGGCATTACAGTGCTGGTGACTCTGTCAGCAGCATCAGTAGCAGCACTAGTGCGAGCTCGGACAGTGAAATCGAGCACGGGCCTCAACTTGAAGCAGAACCCATTTGTGGTTTGAATACCCTTTTTCGTTCTGAGGATGGAAAAACATGTCCGGCTTTCCAAAGCCCAGATCCAGGGCATTGAGTTTGGTCAAAGCTTTGCAGAAGCCACTGGTCTGTTGCTGAGTGTCCCCCGTGTTCCACGAGGATTCCTTTTTTGGGTTTCCCTTTTAAGGCCTTGCAGACACACTGCGACCTTTGAGAGCTCCATTGACAATCATGACAGATTGCCAGCAGCTCAAAGGTTAGAAGTCCAACAGGTGTACCTTTCACTGTTTCACCACGCGCACAAGGCTCTGGCGCAGAGGCACCAGTGCTTGCGTTGCAGATGCTGCTTCGTGGGGCCGGATGTATTGACATGTGTCGACATTTGTGCTTTTGAGGCATTAGCATTTGATAGACCAGGGAGGATTGCCTGGTTGACTTTGTTCGAACGAGGTCAGCCTGCGACAAGGCTCGCGGCCCCCAAAAATTCTTGAAGAAGAATTTCCCGGATGTCCCGTCTTCTGCTTAGGTTCTCTGGACTAGTGAAAAGCATGCATGGTTAGTCACTTCAAAGACCTAGGTTGCAGGATGACCTTGAGACCCGCTCTGTCGCCCATTTGAAGAACAAGGCGCGTCATTCAGTTGCTCCATGATGCCGGCCCGGCTTTGGGTTGCTCAGCCGGCAGGTATTTGGGTATTGCGCCGGTTTCCCATGCAAAGCTTTTTCGAAGCTCCGGCATCTGTCTGATTGGTTGGATGATGTGGAAGCACGACAGTTTTGGTGGGTTCGAGATACCATCAAAGAAGTTCAACCAATCGTGCCTTTCCTTCACACAGACGTGAGTGTCAAATGCCATCGAATCAATTCTTGATGGGTGAATGTTTTTTGACTGACCTAACCTGCATCAAGGTGGCTGTTTTGGAGAACGTCATGGGTCTCAAGAAGGTCCTCGCCACCGTGCAAGAAGCCCTGAAGGAATGTGGCGATTACGAGATCACGTTGCGACAGCTCACCCCGAGCCATAGCTAGATGTTGACTTCTGTAGAGAGTTTTGTTGAGTTCTCACTATTTTGTCTAATTGCTCATTTCCAAGGATGGAGTTGGGTATCAACCTTAGCCGAGATCGGCTATATTTCGTCATGATCCGGAGGGATTTTCTAGGTGTCAACAGCTTGGACAACTGCGCCTCCACAGTGTTGGAAGCCCTCACCACGAACAGGATCACTATCCCATGGTCCGATCCTCACACACGACTATGCCCAGTCCATGTCTCAACATGTGTTTTCTCAGGTCAGATTTCTTGCTGGATGACAACTCTGAAGAGATCCAGCGTATCAAAGCCAAGTGCAAGGCCGATGGGAATGTATTGTTTGACGAAAGCGAGAAGCCTATTGCCAAACAGGCCCAGTTGCAGAAGAAGAACGAGAAGCCAGAGAAGAGTTATTCTATTTTGAAGAGGTGTGGAACGTGTTTCACCCAAGAGTTTTTGGTCTGCAAGCCTGGCAGGCCTTCCAAGAATCAACCCAAATGGCGGCAACACCATTGGAAGTTTGTTCGCAAGAACCAGGCCATAGAGTTTGCATGTTGCCGTCAATCCTATAATGCTTTCATGTTTTGCCAGATAGATTTGGAGAAAGCCCGCAAGAAGCAGATTGGCTATGGCAGTTGCGGTGGGTTGTCCCAACGCTGTGAGCAGGCCCTACAAGCAAAGTATGCTTACTGTAATGCAGCTCAGAAATGGAACAAAAAAAGGATGTCTTCTTGAATCAATCCTAGTGCAGGCCTTGGCCATCCTTTCTGTGAAGCAGAAAGGTTGGGTATGTGCTGATGTCAGCCAAAACCTTCATCGAATGCCTACAGTTTGCAGCTTCAACGATCCCTTCCCAGTCATAACGCTAGGTGCTTATTATTATTGCTTATTATAATAAACTCAAACAAACTCTCTGTGTTTTTCCAACTAGAGGCCAAAGGGGTGCTATTGGCTGCGGCACGCCAAGCGCCCGCTGACAGGCACATTTTTCCCCCAAAGCAAGCTCAATGAAGTTTCTCCGGCGCCGGGAGGCATTGAGAAGATGCTGATGCAAGGCTTTCCTTTGCACCGCTTGCAGCTATCTGGTCTTTCTGATCAGGACACAAGGCTTTTTGTGTACGATGACTCTAGCCGATGTTACGGGTGTCAGGAGATTGGAGATCTTGCAGGAAACAGTATGGCACTCCGTTGTGTCGCAGCTTCTTGGATCATTGCTCTGAAGGCGCTGGGAAGCACTGGCCTGTTTTCAAGGAAACATCTTTTATTAAATACAGCCAGGCTTGCAACCTTGATGCGGTCAACAAGTTCTGCAGCAACCTCTAATAGGACTTTTGGGAATTGTGGGGTTTGCTGATCTTTTTCCACAGTGGTGACACAGTACAGGATTTGTGGCAATTTGGCTTTTCCTGCTCTGGCCCTAGAAGACTGCTCATGCCAAACAACATGCCTGCGCAACCCCGCGCTGAGGTAATTCATTGCGTGATGCGATCACGCCCGGCCATCGTCTCAGTCTTCTGCCTGCGCCAACAAAAGCTTGAAACGCAAATGATATGTATAGATACAGATTCAGTGATATACTACAACAAACTACTAGGTGTCTTCTTATGGGTTGCCTTCAACTCCATCGCGCTGCCTCCGAGTTTATACGCGCAATAATGATCTTGGAAAGAGTGTGAACTTTCTTTTTTCCATAGAATTGCTCTTGCCCACGTCGCTTCCTCGCCTCACTTCAGTGTCAGTCTGAGCTGCTTTGCGCCTCAGCCATGTCAGAGCCACCCCGTGTGAAAAAGGAAGAGTGCAAGTCAGAGGATGAGGAAGCCAAACCGGAAGGAAACACAGCTAGGGATGTGATCTGGGCAGCTTTTCAAAAGGTGCCTCCCTGAGATCATCTTTTCTTCGGGGGAAGGGTTGTACAAACAAGAATTGGAACCCAGAGTGGTCTTGGATCTTTTGAGCTTGCCACCCATGCCCAGGTTACTCGTGATCAGAACCTTGGAGAGTGGTTGAACGACAAGTACCAGGACCCTGCGAGCTTGCACGCAGCAATCAACCGGATTGTTTATGACCGGCCTGGAGCACTCGAGATGCCTTCAATGGTATCAGTTGCACCGCAAAGTAGGGTGGATGAGCTCTATGTAGCTTTGAACCAGTTGGACTATTCAAAGGAAGCAAAGTCTGGATGTTCCTAGGCACTGATTTGATGGTTGCAGGTTGACTCAAAGTAAACTAACTCAGTACATGTCAATCGCTGTTGGCCCTAGACTGTCCACAACTTTGCGCCTAGACTTTCCACATATGGCGGCATTGGAGATCCACATGAAATCGGTCATTTACAACAACTACAACCCGTTCAGGGAGCCGCTGCAGATCAGGTTCAGTGAGTCTTCAACTCGGGATATTCCATCCTTTTCCATCAAGTACGTTGATGGCTTTACCAAGGGGTTGATCTGCCAGGGAATTGTTGGACTCATTGATTGTTTGGATTCTTTGTTGCACCTACTGTCTCACAAAGGAATTGAATTACAAATTCTTACTAAGAATTCACTCCTTTTGACTGGTCTGCTCTCAGGAAATGCCAACTGAACAACTTGATGCTCCAGACCTCCTCCCTTTGATTCTGTCACTGCGCTTTTTTAAAGCGCAATACTGGCACCAAGAAACCACGGCAGATTTCATCTATGAGTCCTTGCGCCGGGGTCTCAAATCATAAGTTTTTCTCTCAATAAACCCCGGCACTCCAGCTCTCCAGGTGTCGGACAAGAGACTGCAGAGAAGCAGCCGCCGTCGGCCTTGGAGTTTTTAGGGCAGTTTCGAAAAGCGATCGAGATTCAGAAACAGAGTACAGGTAAGCAGGTACCGCTGTCTCAGGCTTTAGGAGCCTGCATAGCCGATTACAACAGAAAAACAAGTCAAAGGAGGTACAAGGTGGAAGGAAGCAAAAAGAAGTTGATTTTCAACCTCCTCAAGAGTCCTCAGCAATTTTGCACGGTCTTGGCAGCTCACTATGACAAGCACAAGCACTCCGCATCAGGTGCGCCCAGCTGCGCAATTTGTTTTTTTGAAGTGAGCGCAAACGAAGACTTATTTTGGTTGCTTCGATGATGGAAGCACACAATGAGATTTTGTGGCTCAATAAATGAACTTCTTTCAATCCCACCAAAAAGTACAATACAAAAAGAACACCACCCGGCCTGCCAAATAAAGAACATGCTAAGGTTCCTTAACTTCCCATCAAATACTTTCCACCTACCAGTCTGTCACCGCTCTCCTGGGCTTCCCCTCATGGGGAAATGGCGAGCTGGAGAATCGCGAAGCAGAACTCCTCCGAGAGCATGTGACCTTGGGCGTTGGCGGGTGGAAAGTGATTCCGACTCCAGTAGCGATGGGGATCCTAGCCACAGTTCCACAGCTTCCAGCTCATCTTCACCAGATCGAAGGACAGGTGGTGGTGGTGGTTTGGTTTGTCACGCCATGTATGCCTGTTAATGTATAAAAATATTTATGAATCTAACCAAAAAGAAAGTTGGGAGATATCATGCCTCTCCTTGGCTGGAGGCCAAAGGAAGCTGACCTGTCGCTCCACCATTTGGCCTCCCTCCAAGCGGTGAATGAAGATGACAACAAATCTAGTAAGTATGCTGAGAACGGTGTTTCTGCGAAGAGAATTCGTGAAGTGTTGGGTGGCCGCCAAGCCTCTGGCTGCAATTGCCGGAGGGAGTGGTTTGCTCAGTCAGTGTTCACTTTTGCAAGTAACAACAAACGTAAGTGTGGCTCATCAACTGTGAGCCATGCTTTGAGGGGAGAACACATTGACCCAGTCACCCAGTGCCCAGGTGTTGGCGAGCCATAGCTGCCAAAACCCTGATGCAATTTTGCAAGATGTTTTGGTCGCTGGTCCCTTTTCTCAACTTGAGACGGGGCGAACTGTTCGAAGTTGACCTCTCCTTGTTGGAACGCAAACTCCTTCACAAACTACACTGAGGCTAAGCCGGCGCAAGATGCGGTCCTGTGGGCCATGCAAACTCGAGGTGGTGACATGGCCTCTTCTGAGAGTGATGCGTCGGGCAATGAATCAGATGCAGCCCGAGTCCATGTGACATGGTCAATTGGAGGCAGGTCCAAGCTGGTGTGACGGTGATACTGTCCAATTTTCACAGTTCGTGTTGCTCTTTCACAAACTTGACAGGCACAGAAGTGTGCCGTCGGGCATTTGCTCGTTTCTTGGGAATCGGATGCGCGCGTCTGCAGAGGACGCGCCATAGGTTCAAAGGCATGGATGAGAGAACACTACCAGGTCAAGGACCCAAGCAACTCGCTGTGCTTTTTTTTCCGCATGCACAAGGTGACAGTGACAGGTGTCAAAAAGGTCATTTCAACTATTTTTGGGGCAATGTGAGAGGACAAGGCACCCGTCCAGCTCTTGCGACGGCATCAATTACTTCCTTCCTCCGGAAGCTCTATTTTTCAATCTCGGAATCAATGCCCACAAAGTTTCCTGGATGCAGGAATGTCATTTACTTGTTGTGTTCTGGGGTGAAAGCAGCCAATTACGAACCTCCAATGACGTCTTCAGGCTAGTACCTGCAGGTGTAGATCTTGATTCGGACCAAGCCCGTTCTGAACTTCTACAGTGTCTAATGGATCAAGTGCTTGAAGGATCCACGTCGAGGCTGATGAACATGGATCTCAAAACGCTGCCAGAGAGGGAACTCCCGCCTGGAACATGGGGCTCGCTGTTTCTCTTGTACCAGGCCAAGTGCCTGAGTGAAGGTGACAAATGCGCCAGCAAGGCGCTCTTCTATGAAGTCTCCCGGCCATGGAGACGGGTTCTCAAGTTTCGCCGCCAAAGCCAACACAGCTCGTGCAACCTTTGCGAGAAATACCGGTCTCAAATGAGACATTCGAAGTCGTTTGTATCACATGCCCAAGCTGCGGATAGGTTGTTGGGGCATCTCTCACACATTTGGCGGTGCAGAAGCACCTACTGGGAATCGCGGCAGCAGTCCCGGAGTGGTGATGGTTCACTCCTCACACTCATAATAGACGGCATGGACAGATCCAAACCATCTCTGCCAAGGTGGCCCCGCGGTCAACAGCCAAAGCATAGCACATTCGAGAGGATCCCTCGAACGGGAGTTCTGTTGTCAGCCGTGCTCGCACACGGACACGGAGTCGTGATTTTTCTGGCAGAAGAACATGCTTCCCAGGGCTCCAGTTACACCTGGGATTCTTTGCTGTTCGCAATCGACCTGGTGTGGAAGAACTGCCGCAAGACTGGAAAGCCCTTCAGCCGGTCGCGCCTTGCCTCACATTCAACGGTCATTCATTTATTGTGAATGCAGCAATGCAAGTAGGCGGCTTTGGGGTCTGTGCACGTCTGTTCACATGAGGCTATGGATCCAGTCAGATAATACGGTCAAGGAAGTCAAGAACTCACTATCGGGGGTGATGATGTCCGCACTCATCACCGCCCGGTATTTCGATGAGTGCGGACATCATCACCTCCCGGTAGGACACACTCACGAGGACATAGGCCTGGCAGCTAAGTCTGTTGCTGCATCATGTGTTTTTTCCGGGCAAGCTTGGCCATGATCAGATGGACTCTTCGGGCTGATCACTGGATACCTCATGAATGCCACAGACCAAGTTCAGACTCCAACCGACTTTCAGAGGCTTGGTGTTTCTTTGCCTGTGGATCGAACCATTCTTGATCATGTGTCATCCACCTCTTACCTCCCAGGCTTCTTGAGGCCAATGTGGCTGAAGTGTTCACCAAGCGTGGTGAGTTCTTCCAAGTTGTGATTATGGATAAAGATCCTCGGTTCAACCATTTGGAGGATGCTGATTGCGAGTTTTGCAGGTTGAGAGGTTCAAAGGGTTCAGTGCGCTGAAAGAATTCGAGGTGCGACCATGGAAGCAACTGGCACCGCATGTTGCAACCATGAGCAACGTGTATAGACCCCGGACTCCCGATGATGAGGAGAAAATCCCACACAGCTTTCTATTTCGTCGGAGGGATTGCCCCTTAAAAGCAATGATGGCCTATTTTTGAAACGTGTTATTGGCCAACTGATGTTGGCAATTAATTGGTGTTAGTTAGGTTTGCCTGCTCGTGTGCCTCGAGATGAACGTCTTCCCCGACGATATGAGCCGGGCACTTCGGACGTGTTTTGTCTCCTCAAGCAAAGCTTGGCAGATTCAGATTTGAGCCAGCCCGCACTTCTTGTCTGGCCCGGGGACGAGTGTGAGAAGGCTAAAGCCTTTTTGCGTGATGGTGCAAGCCACTGCGGGCAGCAAACCGATCTGGAGCCAGAGCGGGCTCAGGAACTTTTGGAACTGGCTGATGCTCTAGAAACACTCCCACAGTACTCACGCGCTGTTGCTTACATGAGAAGCTTGGCAGGCAAAATTCCACGGACCCGCCGAGATGCGTGGCCGCTTGATTTTCTTGCTGCTGGTGGGCAAGCTCCACGTCATGACATGCCTGCGCAGCTGCCAGACAGACCAGCTCGGCCAGATCCGTATAGGATGCACGTCAGGTTTCACAGGCCATAGAGTCATAGAGGCACGAGCCTTTCAAAAGGGTTGCGTTGACCTGCGTCCTGTTCACAACAAGGCTGTTTTCCCTGTGTGTGTGTGGGGGCCTGATAGGTCTCCCCTACGACGTGCTTTCAGCTGGACATTTTGTCCCAGGAGTTGAGCGGCACGAATTTGGACGGTATAGGGGCAAAGAGCTTTGGAAAGAGATCATGAACATTGATGAAGAAGCATCAGTTCTGTACATTGAACGAGTTACTCAGATTTTCGATGCTAAAGTGAGCAAAGATGCCACGTCAAAAGCAAAGGCCCGGTTCTGATTTTGCATTGCACTTTTTTGAAACTAGAGTGCGGGTGTGTTCTCGATTACAATCCCCTTTCCTTACTGTGCCCGGCAGAAATCAGCACAGCTCTCTTTGGAAGACCACCAGAACTTGATGGACAGTGTCCTTGCTTGGAAATGGGTCCGCCCCAAACTTCTCGCATCTGTCGATGGCGAGATGATGCCCAAGCTTGATGACATGTTTGCGAAGGGGTGCCTCAGACAGGAGTGGGGACCGCCCATGGGACATCCGCCCCTAAAACCGCCTAAAACCCGTCACACTTGAGAGCCTGTCCCCCCCCTTCCTGAATGTGATGGGTTTTCCGGAAAACCCGTCGCAATTCCTTATTTAAAAATAAAACCCGTCATGATCCAACTGTCTACTCCTGGGGGCGGAGTGTGATGGGTCGAGCCAAAACCATTAAAATTGTGATGGGTTTTCCAGAAAACCCGTCGCAATTTGCACCTCTAAGAAGGCCGCCAAACCGTGATGGGTTTTAGAAAATGATTTTGCAAATTTTGGATTTTTGTAGCGGATAGTTTGATGGGGTTTCTGTAAAACCCGTCACTTTCCCAAGACGGATTTGCAAATTTTTTCGTTTTGTAAGCCGAAAACCCGTCAGGATGGAAAACCGTTTTTGTAAAATTCTGGATTTTGTAGCCCGGGGCAAAACCAAATTGTAATTAGTTTTGTTGATGTTGTACACCTGCCTGGGGAGGAAACACATCGTAGAATCATTGAGTCTCATAATTTGGTTATATGAAAAGGTCTCAAGTCCTTTTGAAGGTTCATAAACTGTTTCAAATGTTTTAAGTAAGAAAGTCATGAGCAGACTATCTCTCCCGAATCATCTCCTCATATCAGAAAAGGGCCTCTTCAGTAATTTAACCGGTTTCCAAAACCAGAACACGACAAGTCTTTCACAAGCTGACCTGTCTTTGCAGGATGCCCTTCCTTCACCAACTTCTCTGAGACCCCACACAGCCAAGGCTTTTCGACCAAGACCTCTCATGCATGTGCAAGGCTGCAGACCCACAGTTGAAGTGGGATAGAGTGCCGTTCGTGATCGAGGCCATGTGCGGTGACATACTCCCTCTGGAAGTTATTAATGGGGTCGGTGATTTTTATTTAGCAGTTTGACGTGTCTTTTTGCAAACCCTTAGAGGCAAAGAAATCCAGAAATACAGCCAAACAACAAGCATTCGTTGCTGAATCAGGATTGAACTATCCTGGGGTCTTGTAGAAGGTTTTCAGTTTTCATGCATGGATGGTGTCAGCTTAATACATATTCAAAAAGGTCCTTGTTTGCCGGGTAGGTCCTGGGTAAGCAGAAAGAGGAGTACATCGTCGCTGCTCAGAGTAAGTCCAAGAATGCGCACGCAGCCTCCCGGACTGCAGCCTGGAACCTCTTCAAGACCCAGCTGGAAGAGGACGCAGCTGCTTACGAGGCCATGAAAATCAGGCCAGCAAGGTAAATATAGCTCACTTTCGGGCGTCAAACAGCTCGCTGACTGGGGCCCACTAAACTGTCACTAAACAAACAAACCTTTGTCTCAGATGTTTTTGAGCATTTGTGAAGAAAGTAGGGAACCAATAATTAGATGTTTGTTTTTGGAGTCTCTGTGTAGCTACTCTTTTTTACAACTCTGGCTCCAAACATCACTGGGCTAAAGGACAACGTATGCGCCATTGTGGGACAATTGAACACTGCATAGCATCAGAGACAGCTGCACATTCATTGCCCCTCGATATTCCCAAACCTTTCGACAATTATAACTAAATATTTCAAAAGCACAGGGTGAGCTTACATCTTGACCGACACCAACTATTTGATACTAGAAGTAAGGTAATGGTCCTTTTGTCAGTTTCCTCCCCGCTTTGTCCCAGAATGTTTTCCCAAGCCTCGCGACCAGGTGCTCCAAGGAAGACTCCAAGAAGCGCCGTGACACCTTACTCAAATTGGAGGAGATGCAGCTAGTCAGGGTGAATGTGTTGCGCAAAAGGGTCAGGGGTCACCACTTTCGAAGCTTCCTGGTGCCAAACACAATCACGACTTGCCTTCTCACTTTTGAGGCACACCCGAAGCTGGGAGATTGTCCACAGCTGGGTGGACCACAATCTCAAAGTGTGGTCATTGAAAGCAGAGACATCGCCTTTACCTACGTTACTGCCATGGATAGAAGAAAGGTTTGAAGACCAAACGTTTCTCCGAACCGCTTCTGAGGAGGGTCATGTGTTGTACTTCAACCTACCAAGCATGGGGGTGATCAGTGCAGCGAAATTGAACTATGTGCATGCTCTGTGCACAAGTTTTTTGGCAGCACGTCCGACAAACTCTGTGGCTGTCATCATCCATGCAAACAGAGCATCTGAAGGGCGAAAGTCCAGAACTCAGGGACAACTGGAAGTGCTTTGACAACACATGTTGCACCAAAATAGCGACGTGTCTTCACTCACAGTAAGGTTGTAACAGGTGCATGTTCTTTCCCATTGTGAGGCGCTCTACCAAGACTGACCATGATGAGGAGGGCCCAGATGAGACGAAACGCGAGTCAGGTGGTGAGTCTGAAGATGATGAAGATGATAAGGCAGATGAAGAACACACTCTTTTGATGAATTTCAGGCACAAGTTTGAGTCGACTCTGAGGGAACCAGGTCGTATGCTGATAGTCAAAGACTTGGTGATTGCATTTGATCCCTCGTCGATCTATGGCCAGCGTGCTGGATTCTTGAAAGGTCTCCTTGTGACAGTACCTTTGATTGATGGGGGTAGATCTATGCATGCAGCACATATCACAAGCTGGCTTCAAGGGGCCCTGAAAGGAAGCAAGTTTGAGTTTGTTGTGTAGTTGTTTGTCGCACGAATAACTATCCAGAGAAGACAGTTTTGAGATCCTTAGGCATTTGGCTAACTAACAGTCTCTGGCAACTCAAGGCCCTCAAGCTTTAGGACAACCCGTTTCTTCCAAATTTGCAATATTCAATATGCATCATTGATACACACAGGAAGTCAGGCCGTTGGTTGACAGTGCAGTCTTTGAGAGTCATGTCCGTTTCTCTCTCCTAATTCCTAATGCAGCTTGAGCCCAGGCGCGCTCTTCAACAGCTCCCAATGTGTTCTGGCGTTCCCAAGCCTGGCGTCGGGGAACCGTCAGCGAAGTGCAAATGTGCAGTCGGGCTGACATGTTCAAAGAGCATTCGGGTGCAGCTCCTCTCTCCATGCAAGCTTCCATGACAGATTGCCAGGAACAACGACAGGTTTCTTGTTGCTTGATTTGGCAAACTGAATAACATTGAGCTGCGCAAATACTGTGTGATTGTGTTGTTGAGTTATTTAGGGCCCCTGATTCAAGTCAAAATATATAGCCTCTTTTTTGCTTGTTAGTTGATAAACATTAATAAACTATATACGTATACACTGCAGCGACACCTCCTTTCAAAACAACACCATCGATACCGCCTGCGAGGTTGCAGCAGGTACCAGCCTCATCCGACGGATTCAGGAGTCACTGGTTTCGGGAGCTTCATTGCAACGGCTAGCTTGGATCGATGCGTGTGGATATGACGGGTGGGCAGCCCTTGCTGTGCTAGAGGTAGGTTCAGAAACGGATGTGTTGTCAAGGGGAATAGAATTTGGGGGTGTATGGCTCCATCCTGATACAAAACGAAACTACTTGTCAAGTCTCGCCAGATTAAGATCATGGGATGATGTATAGAACTTGATTGTCAAGCATATGCTTTACAAATATAATATATATATACTTAACCTTTTGGATGGACCCATGCCAAAGCTATCAATCAACCAATCATTGAACCCATCTTTCTATGCAGGCCGCTTCGTCGACACCAACCACCATTTGTGGAACCGTTGTCATCCAGGAGAAGGGTTCGGACCGATCAGCAAATTTGGTGGGACGTATTTCCACAGCCACCTATGAGGCATGTCGCACAGGTCGCCTACAATTGGACTCTTTCCCGGATGTCAACCCTCTTCTCCAAGAGATGCAGCGCACTTCAGGCAACCAGAACTCTCCATCACAGTCATTTACCTATAAAGTGACATCTCTCCAAGCTGATGGTTCTTTGGTTGTGAAAGAACAATTCTTTGAACAATTTGGGGAGATGCCTGAATTTGACGAGATCATCCAGCATCACAACCAGACATACAACACCGAGGGTCTTCGCTTGAAAGAAACAGTGGTGAACCCTCAGAAGCCGACAGTCTCTAAAGCCGTGGTTGTGGCTACCGATGAGCCCCTGACGACAGCCAAGATGACCGCCTTGCCAAATACGCTTCAACCTTAGCACTCTGTCTGCGCAGTCCAATGCACGCTGTACATGGTTCCAGCCTACCCCCAAGCCTAGGTCTACGCTGATGGTCAATTCCCAAGTGTCCCTGATCTGCAGTCAAACCGGAGAGCAGGTCTTTGCCATGTCAGAGGAACAGGCTACTTTGCTAAGTGGCCGCGAATTGTGTTCCTTTGGTTCTGGGACGTGGTATGATGGGCGGGATGCAGTGGAAATGATGGAGTCCGATTCCCCATGGTTGGCGTGCAAACTCACCTTTGATAGCTTGGTTGTGCTGGAGAAAAAAACAGATTTTGACTCACCTTCAACAGCTCCCCTGCCTGGAGAAACCAACGAACTTACGCGAGCTCTTGACGCTTCTGGAAGACTCTGGTGAGGCACTGGGGGCCATCGCAAACGGGTCCAGTGTTTTTTTCTCTGTCGCTGTAGCGTTGACCCAGGAAAACTTCCCAACCCAACTTCTACTTGCCACACCCTTGAAGGTGAAAGTTGGCTTTAGCCACCATGCCATTGACTTGGCAAAGGATTCGATTTCCTCGGAAAAGGCCTTGTGCTTTTGTCTTGATGGCAAGAAAGATGAGGAGAACACTGGTGAACCCCCCAAGAAAAAGCAGAAGAAGAAGGAAAAGGATTCCGCAAAGGCCACCAAAGATTCCAAGAAGGCTGGGTAGTTTTTTTTCCAGTGGGCCAAGGAATCTAGACTCGTGGACGTGACCCTGTGGTGTGGATTTATACTCTTAGACGCGACTCTTTAGTTTGGATGTCTCTGGCTGTGAAGCTGAAGCTTGAAGCTTGTTTTTATGTGTATACCCCACTCACAGATCCACATCCAAAGCCTTCCCTGGTCCAAACCCGGTTTGGTACTGGTAGGCCGCTTCTCCGCTGACATTTGGTGCGAAGTTTGACTTGAAGAAGGTCATCCAAAGTGACGCCTTGAAAGTTGGCTGGCGGGTTAGGCTGGGACCCAAAACTCTGGACCGACAACATCTTTGACCAGCAGTCTGTCCTCTCCACTCCCAACACTGCCAACGCCCAACCAACATTGCAGCTTGAGTGCCAGGTTGGACACAACCGGCGGCAAATCCATTCTGAAGCCACAGCGACCTGTGTGCGTGCTTCACGGGCAGCTTGACCTAGAGCCCGGTCAACCCGTGCAGCTCATGTAAACCGTGAGGGCAATGGGCAACGCTGTTTGGACATGGTTTGACCCTTTTTACCGTTTAAGCTTTGAAAGAAATTCACCATTAGGCCCAGCCCTGCATACTCCTTTTGTTTGGTGCTTCAGCCCTCACAAGACCTGCTCGGAGGGGCGTGCTCTGAAGAAAACACAAAATTTATGTGGATATAGAATGCCTTTGTATTGAAATTGTCTTTTTACAATGACCGACGCTAGCAAAAGACTCTTCTCCAAGGTGCGGGCGTTTTGGGAGTGTAGCCGTTGATACACATCGGCCAAAAAAGGGCAAAGTGGCAAAGTGGCATGAGCATGACATCGACTGCAAGATTCGTTGACACTAGTGCCAGGGTGTCCATTCTGCACATGTTTCTGCAAAAAAGAACTTTGCACCATTGTTGTTTTGCTGTTTGAAGGATATTTTTGTCCAAAGGAGTGCTGTGACCCTAGACTCGCTGAACCATGTCTCAGCCTGACTCTGATGTTGAGATTCTTGATGGCTGCACGCCGGCGCATCATGCAACTCCAGCTTGAGGCTTAATTAGTGACTGTCTCAAAAGATGTGGATCTAGCTACATACTGTACCTTGAAATCAATTCGGGCTTGAACGTTTTCAAGCATTTCCCAGTTTCAAAGCATTTTGCCTGATACTAGATAGCTAACCTTCAGCCAGCGATTCCCAAAACACACCACACAAGGCCTTCAACCTGGAGCATATGTTGGATTCCGCGAGACCGGCTACAAGTGGTGGCACAGCCGCGAATGCTGCCAAACCTAAACCCAAGTCTGTGCCCAAGGCAACTCCGAAGGCAAAGTTGAAGGCGCCATCACCCGTTGAGGAACCAGGCAGGTTTGATTCAACTTATGTAATGTTGCATTGCTATTTGATTTGCAATTAGCAGTTAACAACTAAATCTTGCCGGGCAGGCCTACCTCCCAGGTTCAATGCCTCCGCATCTTCATCTGACGAGTCGAAGCCAACCCAAACAAAACCAGATGACGGAAAAGAGGGGAAAGGGAAGCCCAACAGTGTGTCTAAGAAACCAAAGGGAAAGGCTAAGGCAAAAGACAGTAGAAAGAAAACAAAGAGAGATGATGATGAGGATGAGGAGAGTGGTGCTGATGTTCCCCGCAAACCTGGCCGTAAAGATGATGATGATGATGATGAGGTTGATGATGCGGGTACAGGTAACGAACGAAAACCAACGACGAAGAAGCGCCCTTCAGCACAACCCCGGAAAGGCCAGGCATGCAAACCAATCTCCAGGACTTTAGAATTTGTTTTTTTGCTCGGACAGGCAGCCGAAGCACAGGATCTGGTCGGAAGCCAGGACCAAAACTCAAGAAGGCCACAGAGGCCTGCGATGCTTTCTGGTTCGAGCGACAATTCCATTGCTGATCATTTGCTGTCTAGTGGAATTGGGCAGGAAAACCAGCCTGCTGGTGACATTGACGTCCTTGCTGGGTTGAAGGTGTGCCTGTTTTGTTTGATCTTTGTTTGATTGTACTGAGTGCCAGCTGTTCTTGGAGTGCCAGGATCAAGTCAAAAGCCGCCAGGTGCATGCTTCTCCTGTCACTTCTGACGCATATATGTGTCCTGTGCCTGAAGACCCACAGCCAACAACTCCTCTGACCCCTGCAGGGGTCACCAAGCCGGCTTTGAAAAGGCTCCAAAGAATGGACCCTCAGGATGTTCCTCCTTGTGAGGAAAAGGATCAGTTCGCAGACCGCTTTGTGGGAGACGATTTCCTTGATCATCTAGACAGCCTATTTGAACCTGTGGACTTTGCTATGGAGATGACACCGGGCCAGAATGCCAAAGATGAATCCGAACAAGGCTGGGGTTCAACCAATCTTGTTCTGTTACATTGATGTGTTGCCAGGTTTGGTGGGCACGCCAGCTCATTCGGATGCCGAGACCCTGATACTTCCTGGAATTCCGCGAGAGGAGATGTTAGTTCTTTGTTTCAGTGTGCTCCCGGCATGTCTTATTTTGGGCCAAGACCCACCACCTGATGAGGACTGGAAAGAACAAGTTGAAGCATCACCCTGTGCTGAGGAGGACCCGATCAAAAAACTTGGAGATTAAACAACATTATCACAAACCAAACCGGGTGGAGCAAACTCTTGCTTCAGGAGATCCCAAAAGTTGAGCGCCCTGAGATGCCTGCAATCGAGGTGCTGCAAGTTTCTTTGTAACCACATTTGCCTAACATGATAAATTTATGTGTGAGGCAATCCCAACACCTGTTCGCAACCGGCCAAAGGCTCGCCTTGTAACAGTTAGCTTTGTTCGAAAAACTGTTTTAGCGCCTTCCTGCCTATGAAAGGACACTGTTTCACAGTTCTAGCGCATTGCTTGGCAAGGTCGACACTTACTAATATGCACTTCAATTTCTTTTTGGTTTTGGCAGGCTGGTGTCACTGAAGACCCTGCTCGTGAAGAATTGTCCGCAGCTCGCCCCAATCTTGGGTTACTTGCAAAAGCTAAAGCGCAGCCAGCAGCAAGCAGCAAGGGAAAGGCAGCGCCCAAACCCAAAGCCAAGTCCAAGGGGGTGGCAGGGTTACGAAAGGGAAAGGAGACTGCAAAGCCAACAGGGAAGAACGCCAGAAAGCCAAAAGGAACGATTTCCAAGGACAGGGGAAACCACAAAACGTTCCAAATGACACCTCCAGAAAAACTGAACTGCACAGTTACAACATGTTACAGTTTGCTTCCAGGAGGGGTGGACCTTGGAGAAGTTGAAGAAAGACCTTCATTCCGTTCTGGTCCTAGTAGGTTTTGGACAAACATTTGGGATGGGTCTGTGTGGTTCATTTTGATTTGAGGCCTACTCAGTTGGATGGGCAACAAAGAAACGTGCGGGCAGTGACGACCCGGCTGACTGGCGTGAAGCTGGTAATGCAGCACGTGTAAAGCGCTTGAAGGATTTGCGGAAAGCCGGCGTTGAGGTCGCCCATACTTACAATCTTCCTTAGAAGACCTTTGGGCATACAGCTTGGATCGTTGGATCATGTGTTTTGGACACATGAGCGCACATGGGGAGAAAGATGGAAAAAGTCTTGGGAACACATGTGCTGGTGTAGCTGACAGAAGGTAACTTAATGTAAAACAAATTTGTTGAGTTTGCTGATTGATCCTGGCCAGTCATTCTTGCGCCAGGTTGGCCAAGGGGTGGCTCCAAATTAGAGATCTTTACACGACGCTATTTGCACCTTCAAACGGTGTAGAAAAAATGTGCGAGTGGCTGGGTGATGAGATGTGGGTAGCTGGGTGATGAAACCCTTGCCAACCTCTTTTTTGGACATCCACTTGCAAATTGGAAAACACTCAGTTCACAGTGGAAATGCTTCTCTGTATATCCTCAGTAGCAACCCCACACAGCTAGCATTCTTGGAAAAGGCGAGTGCGGATTTACTAGACACGAAGACAGCTAGCAAGTTCCGATCCAGTGCGGATGTACTGCCCGGTTTTGACCCCCGGACCGTTCAACGCTTCGAAAAGGTCACCGCCCGCGTTCGGCGGCGGTCGCCGTCTCGGACCCCGAATCCGGACACGCCCACGGGGTTTGGAGGGAAACGCCATCTGCACCATCCAAGGAGCCACCACCACACCTGTTTCGATCATGCCTTGATGTGCCGGGTAGCCGCAAAGCACCTCGGAATGGACGATCGGTCTGTGATTGGGAGTGGGGAGAGCGATTGGGAACAAGTCTTCAGTCTTGATTCACAAAAACCAGCATCCTCCAACAGAGGGGTTGTTGGGCCTCAATGGGTCTCAAGGTCTGGGAGTCTGGGCCTTTTTTCTGAAAGGAACTTCGGTCGACCCATCAGACTCGCCATGGTCGACCCCTCAGACGGTGGTCGACCCATCATGGACCAAGGATGAATCCATGAAACCTGGCATACCAGGGCCGCGTGAAAACGGGGTGCCTAACAATTGCCCCTTGGAGGTCGAGGCTCAGGGCTGTGGAAGACCACCGCGCCGTGACGGGTCAAAGACTTGTTCGGCTACAGCCATCTGGATGTCAATTGCCACAGGCAGACACTTCCACAGACAGTAAGAGACACGTAGAAGGAAAGATCACCGGAAGAATCCTCAAATCAACCTCAAATCAACTTGTGGGGGGGCTCACTTTTCTTGTTGAAGCTAGTATATAGGGATTATGGAACAAAGCCAACGGGCTGATTGCAGAAAGGATGGTATGTTAAACTGTGGAAATACTTTCTCTAAATCTATCCCAAAGAGTCCATGGGACTGGGATAGATGCTGACCCATTGACCCCTCTTCAACCCCCCCCGACTGATCAGTATACAAATTATGCCAGTCCCACTAGTCGTGTCTGAATCTATGATTACTCTCCCCCTGCTCGTGGACGTTCGACCCTGGCTAAACACCTGTAAGCCTGGAGAACTCTCCGAAGTGTCCCGTTTTTTCTTTTTACTTGTGATCCCCAAGCTCACACGGCATGGGAACAAGGGGCTTCCGGTTTCCACAGATCCCAGCATAGATGCAGTAGACATCAGCAGGCCCTGTTTTGGTTCATGACTCATATAGCCAACGCCCCGAAGAAGCGATGGATATTGATGGATCATGACTGCCAGGTGGGGTCAAAGGAATCCAAACGCAAGTTCCGGGATCATCATGCGCACCCCCTCGGTCAAAGTGTTCCGGGGCATCACGCGTCCGCCCCCGCGCGCCGGAGCGGCTCCCCACGCGGACGAGCTCGTCGTCCCGACGCGTCGAAACACGAGACGCGAGAAACTCGCCCAAGGAACGTTCGGATACTTCAGCAGGCTGGCCTCGCCCATGGGATGCTGGTAGCACATGAAGGGAACCAGTCCAAAGCTGGCCTCGCGGTCGCCAGCTAGGGAGACGAGGGAGACGTGTGTGTGTGTGTCACCCTTGGAGTCATAGGGATGCTTTTGCATTTGTTTTACCGCAGGGGAACTGGGCACTCTGTGACTGACCCAGTTCAACGAAGCTAGGTCACAGAGTGGGATATTCGGACTGATCATCCGAACGTACCTGCTATTTTCCATTTTCTGCATGGCGCGAGGCTAAGCCAAGAACCTCACTACCCGGTTTTCTTCAGAGCTTCAGTTCTTTTCTGCAGATGTGCACGAGCCGCCGTCAACCTGTTCGACTCGCTCGCCGCCTTCGACCTTACGCTTTTGGCCTCACTTCCTCTTCCAGACCCCAGGATCCGATGGTCCCTACTGGTTTTCTTAGGAAATGGAACCCTAGGCCGGCGTGTGGCACCGCATTCACATCAGTACGCATATCCATGAGTGTGTTTGGCTTCGTGCCAACCCGGGAT